AACTTCCCCAACCTAGCAAGGCAGGCCAATATTCAAGTCCAGGAAATACAGAGAACACCATAAAGATACTCCTCAAGAAGAGCAACCCCAAGGCACATAATCAATCGTCAGATTCACCAGGGTTGAAGTGAAAGAGAAAATGCTAAGGGCAGCCAGAGAGAAAGGTCGGGTTACCCACAAAAAAAAAAAGCCCATTAGACTCACAGCAGATCTCTCAGCAGAAACCCTAAAAGCCAGAAGAGATTGGGGGTCAATATTCAACATCTTTAAGGAAAGAACTTTCAACCCAGAATCTCCTATCCAGCCAAACTAAGCTTCATAAGTGAAGGAAAAATAAAATCCTTTGTGAACAAACAAGTACTCAGAGATTCCATCACCACCAGACCTGCTCTACAAGAACTCCTGAAAGAGGCTCTACACATATAAAGGAACAACCAGTAACAGCCACTCCAAAAAATATCAAATGGTAAAGAGCATCAACACAATCAAGAATCTGCATCAACTAACCAACAAAACAGCCAGCTAGCATCAAAATGACAGTATCAAATTCACACATAACAATACTATCCCTAAATGTAAATAGACTAAATGCTCCAATCAAAAGACACAGACTGGCAAATTGGATAAAAAGCCATAACCCATCAGTGTGCTGTATCCAGAAACCCATCTTACATGCAAGGATACACAAAGGCTCAAAATAAAGGGATGGAGGAAGATCTACGAAGCAAATCGAGAACAAAAAAAAAGCAGGAATTGCAATTCTCATCTCTGATAAAATAGACTTTAAAGCAACAAAGATCAAAAGAGCCAAAGAAGGACATTACATAATGGTAAAAGGATCACTGCAACAAGAAGAGTTAATGATCCTAAATATATACGCACCCAATACAGGAGCACCCAGATACATAAGGCAAGTTCTTAATGACTTACAAAGAGACTTAGACTCCCACACAATAATAGTGGGAGACTTTAACACCCCATTGTCAATATTAGACAGATCATCCAGACAGAAAATTAACAAGGATATCCAGGACCTGAACTCAGACCTGGAACAAGCAAACCTAATAGACATTTACGGAACTCTCCACCCCAAATGCACAGAATACACATTCTTCTCAGCACCATATTGCACCTACTCTAAAATTGACCACATAATTGGCAATAAATCACTCTTCAGCAAATGCAAAAGAATGGAAATCATAACATACAGTCTCTCAGACCACAGTGAAATCAAGTTAGAACTCAGAATGCAGAAACTAACTCAGAACCACACAGGTTCATAGAAACTGAACAACTTGATCTTGAATGTTGACTGGATAAACAATGAAATAAAGGCAGAAATAAAGACGTTTTTCGAAACCAACGAGAATGAAGACACAACATACCAGAATCTCTGGGACACATTTAAAGCAGTCTCTAGAGGAAAATATATAGCAATGAGTGCCCACATGAGAAGAGAGGAGAGATCTAAAATTGACACCCATCATCAAAATAGAAAGAGCTAGAGGAGCAAGATAAAAAAAACTCAAAACCTAGCAGAAGTCAGGAAATAACTAAGATCAGAGCAGAACTGAAGGAAATAGAGACACAAAAAACTCTTCAAAAAATCAATAAATCCAGGAGCTGATTTTTCGAAAAGATCAACAAAATAGACAGACCACTAGCCAGATTAATAAAAAAGAAAAGAGAGAATAACCAAATTGATGCAATGAAAAACGATAAAGGGGATATCACCACATATTCCACAAAAATCGAAACCATCATCAGAGATTATTACAAACAACTCTATGCACATACTAATAAACCTGGAAGAAATGGATAAATTCCTGGACACCTGCATCCTCCAAAGCCTAAACCAGGAATAAGTCGAAACCCTGAATAGATCAATAACAAGGTCTGAAGTTGAGGCAGCAATTAAAAGCCTACCACCCAAAAAAAGCCCAGGTCCAGATAGGATCACAACCGAATTCTACCAGACATACAAAGAGGAGCTGGTACCATTCCTTCTGAAACTATCCCAGATAATCCAAAAAGAGAGAATCTTTCCCAAATCATTTTATGAGACAAACATCATCCTGATACCAAAACCTGGCATAGACTCAACAAGAAAAGAAAACTTCAGGCCAATATCCATGATGAACATAGATGCAAAAATCTTCAATAAACTACTGGCAAGCCGATTGCAACAGCACATCAAAAAGCTTATCCATCATGATCAAGTAGAATTCACCCCAGGGATGCAAGACTGGTTCAACATACACAAGTCCATAAACATAATCCACCACATAAACAGAACCAAAGACAAAAACCACATGATTATCTCAATTGATGCAGAGAAGGCTTTTGACAAAATTCAACAGCCCTTTATGCTAAAAACGCTCAATAAACTAGGTATTGACGGAACGTATCTCTAAATAATAAAAGCTATTTATGACAAACCAACAGCCAATATCATACTGAATGGGCAAAAACTGGAAGCATTCCCTTTGAAATCTGGCACTAGACAAGGATGCCATTTCTCACCACTCCTGTTCAATATAGTTCTGGAAGTTCTAGCCAGAGCAATCAGGCAAGAAAAAGAAATAAAGGGTATTCAAATTGGAAAGGAGGAAATCAAACTGTCTCTATTTGCAGACGACATGATTGTATATCTAGAAGACCCCATTGTCTCAGCCCAAAATCTCCTGAAACTGATAAACAACTTCGCAAAGTCTCAGGATACAAAATCAACGTGCAAAAATCACAAGCATTCCTATACACCAGTAACAGACTTAAAGAGAGCCAAATCAAGAATGAACTGCCATTCACAATTGCTACAAAGAGAATAAAATATCTAGGAATACAACTAACAAGGAACATAAAGGACCTCTCCAAGGAGAACTACAAGCCACTGCTCGATGAAATAAGAGAAGACACAAACAGATGGAGAAATATTCCATGTTCATGGTTAGGAAGAATCAACATCATGAAAATGGCCATACTGCCCAAAGTAATTTACAGATTCAACACTATTCCCATCAAGCTACCAATGACCTTCTTCACAGAACTGGAAAAAAACACCTTAAACTTCATATGGATCCAAAAGAGAGCCCGCATAGCCAAGTCAATTCTAAGCAAAAAGAACAAAGCAGGAGGCATCACACTACTGGACTTCAAACTATACTACAAGGCTACGGAAATCAAAACAGCATGGCACTGGTACCAAAACAGAGATATAGACCAATGGAACAGAACAGAGGCCTCGGTGGAAACACAACATATCTACAACCATCCGATCTTTTCCAAACCTGACAAAAACAAGCAATATGGAAAGGATTCCCTGTTTAATAAATGGTGTTGTAAAAACTGGCTCACCATGTGCAGAAAGCAGAAAGTGGACCCCTTCCTGACACCTTACACTAAAATTAACTCCAGATGGATTAAAGGCTTAAACATAAGACCTAACACCATAAAAACTCTAGAAGAAAGTCTAGGCAAAACCATTCAGGACATAGGCGTAGGCAAGGACTTCATGACCAAACGCCAAAAGCATTGGCAACAAAAGCCAAAATAGACAAATGGGACCTAATCAAACTCCACAGCTTCTTCACAGCAAAAGAAACAGTCATTAGAGTGAATCAGAAACCAACAGAATGGGAAAAAAATTTTGCAGTCTACCCATCTGACAAGGGGCTGATATCCAGAATTTACAAAGAACTAAAACAGATCTACAAGAAAAAAACAAACAAGCCGATTCAAAAATGGGCGAAGGATATGAACAGACACTTTACAAAAGAAGACATACAGGAGGCCAAAAAACATGAAAAAATGCTCATCATCACTGGTCATTAGAGAAATGCAAATGAAAACTACATTGAGATACCATCTCACGCCAGTTAGAATGGCGATCATTAAAAAATCTGGAGATAATAGATGCTGGAGAGGGTGTGGAGAAATAGGAACACTTTTACACTGTTGGTGGGAGTGTAAATTAGTTCAACCATTGTGGAAGACAGTGTGGCAATTCCTCAATGACCTAAAAATAGAAATCCCATTTGACCCAGCAATCCCATTACTGGGTATATATCCAAAGGATTATAAATCATTCTACTGTAAGGACACATGCACATGAATGTTCATTGCAGCACTGTTTACAATAGCAAAGACCTGGAACCAACCCAAATGCCCATTGATGATAGACTGGATGGAAAATGTGGTGCATATACACCATGGAATATTACGCGGCCATCAAAAAAGATGAGTTTTTGTCCTTTGTAGGGACATGGATGTACCTGGAAACCATCATTCTCAGCAAACTGACACAAGAGCAGATAATCAAACACCACATGTTCTCACTCATAGGCGGGTGTTGAACAATGAGAACACATGGACACAGGGAGGGGAGCACTACACACTGGGGTCTGTTGGGGGGAAATGGGGGAGGGACGGAGGTGGGAGGTGGGGAGAGACAGCATGGGGAGAAATGACAGATAAAGGTAAGGGGAAGGAAGGCAGCAGATCACACTGCCATGTGTGTACCTATGCAACAATCTTGCATGTTCTTCACATGTACCCCAAAACCTAAAATGCAGTTATAAAAAAAAAAGAAACTAAATTGGAATATAAAAACTTAGGCTCTTTAAATAAAACGTTTAAAATTAAAAAAAAAAGCAGCATAATATCCTATTAATTTAATTAAACATTTAAGTATTCTTCTATTTATTTGTATTCTTCTATTCCATTCTTCTATTCTATAATTCTTCTATTCTATTCTATAATTCTATTGTAGTCTTCTATTTGTTAAGTAAATCTTTAAACAAATTGTTTACTTTAAACAAAATGTTTACTTTAACTTCTTTATGTATTTCTGGATCCTTTCCAAATTGAGTAGTATGATCCAGGACTACTATAAGAAAAATGTGTGGACATCTTCCAGATCAGTTACTCTGGTACCCTGATCTCTATCTGTTTCTCTGTATTCTCCCAGATAGTTTCATGTTATGTGGGTAGATGGTATACACCTTGTCCTAGGTATTTTCAATGTTTTAGTTCATTAAACTTAACTGCACTATTATTTTTCCTAACTAAAAATTTAAAACTTACTTTTTCTTTCAAAAGCAGCCAGCAAATTTGTTACCCTTGATACTACTCCAGGATTATAATCTATTATTTATTTATTTATTTTTGTTAAGGAATGATTAAACCATTTGCTTACTTCATTTGTAAAATCCATAACTTACAAGTTTTAAACCAAACTCCAACCTTTTTAACTCCAATCTTTTATGTCTCACAAATATGTTTACAATAAAGGACAAACTCTCACACCAAAAAGTGTTGGTAAGAAGTGTAAGTAATAGAAAGGCTAGATGGTATACAGCCCATACAAGTGTGTGGAAGGTGCCCAGGCCTGGAAAATTCAGGAGGACATAGCCTAGGAAACCTAGTCACACCTGCTTATGTGACTCCTTGAGGTCAGTGCTGTCTACTGGTCCTTGCCTCAAGGTGGAACTTTTCAGATATACGACTCTGGACAGGTTTTCCTCAGGGTGTGTTTTCATTCCTTCCTCCATGGCATGCTGGACACTGAACCAAGATTCAGGTTGAAAAATCTTTACCACAGAATTAGTTGCTCCCAGTTTCCACCTGCCAACAGCCCAACTACCTGCACCACCACTGCACCACCATCTGCTTTGGCTGCCACATTCTGCACATAGTTAGGTCATGCTGTCAAAACAGGCTCAGAGTAAGAGGAAAGGTTTTAATCCCACGAAGGTTGCAGTTTCTCTCTCTCTCTCTCTCTTTCTCTCCCTCTCTCTCTCCCCCGCCCCCCGTTTTCTCTTGGTTTTTTCCCACTGTTTACCAAAGAGACATTTCCTAATTCCAGTGGGCTCTATTTGTCCCACTGGGCCATCAAAAGCACTTTTCTGACCATCTAGTTCTCTATGACACTCTAAAATAGTTTTCTTGCACAGCAGCAATGTTACAATAGATACAAAATTGCTAAATCATTTTCAGAATGAGAGATTCCAGTTTGTATCATCACCAGAAATAAGATTTTGTAGCCTTCTTGGTAGCACTGACTTTCCTGAATTTTTTCTTGTTTTACTTTAGTATCAACAAATGTTCTAGGGATTCAAGGTGGCCTCAAAACTACTTTTGAAAGTAATACACAGCAGCAATAATAAAACCTGTAAATTACAGAGTGTCAGCTATATGCCTGGCATTTTACATGCACTGTTTCATTTATCCTTAAACAACCCCAGGCAATAGGTATTATTTCCCCCAGTCAGCATGAAAGAAAAGTGAGAATCCAAAAGAACAACTTGTCCAACTCCATAGCTTCAGTCGGGGGTACAGGCATGACTCCAATCTATGCCCCTCTAACCTTAGCTCTTACAGCTGTCTATGCCAACATAGCTCACAGCTATCAGGCTATAATCTAGTGCACTTTTCACTAATTATTCCTTTTCAGAGTTGTCATTATCTGCTCATTATCACGTTGCTCAAATGAAATTCTAATGGTGTAAATAATGAATTAAACTCTAGTTAATTAGATCAACAATGCCATTTTGTTCCTGACTACAAATTTGAATCCATTTGTTCTTTCTAAAGCAGCCAGCAAATTAGTTACCCTTGATATATTCCAGGGCTATGATGTATTTATTTATTTATTTACCCCAGTTAAGAAAATGATTAATCCATTTGCTTAGTTCATTTGACATTTTTGTAAAATCCGTGGCTTATAACTTTTAAACCAAACTCCAACATTTTAGGACTCAGAAAATTTTATTAGGACAAAATGTGATTTTCCTTGGGGGTCAAAATAGAGAGATGAATTTTATGATATATGATCCCAATCTGAATATCAAATCACTTACATAATAGTATCTCAAAGATATCAGCTTAGCTAAATCAGTGGCTCATATATGCCATGTGGTTAAAAATATCCTCATGTCTCCATTTTCACATTGCTGATAAAAAAACAAAATCCTCATGTCGAAATAGGAAGGCTTTTACACTCTTAGAGGGAATATAAATTAGTTCAACCATTATGGAAGATAGCATGGCAATTCCTCAAGGATCTAGACCCAGAAATACATTTGACCCAGCAATCCCATTACTGGGTATATGCCCAAAGGATTATAAATCATTCTAGTATAAAGACATATGCACATGTATGTTTATTGCAGCACTATTTACAATAGCAAATACTTGAAACCAACCCAAATGCCCATTAATGATAGAGTGGATGAAGAAAATGTGGAACATACACACCATGAAATACTATGCAGCCATGAAAAAGAATGAGTTTATGTCCTTTTCAGGGACATGGATGAAGCTGGAAACCATAATTCTCAGCAAACTAACACAGGAACAGAAAACCAAACACCTAATGTTCTTACTCATAAGTGGGAGATGAACAATGAGAGCACCTGGACACAGGGAGGGGAATGTCACATACCAGGGCCTGTTGGGGGGTTGGGGAAAGGGGAGGGAGAGCATTAGGACAATACCTGATGCATGTAGGGCTTAAAACCTAGATGATGGGTTGATAGGTGCAGCAAACCACCATGGGACATATATACCTCTGTAACAAACCTGCACATTCTGCACATGTATCCCAGAACTTAAAGTAAAATTAGAAAAAAAATATATCCTCATGTCTACACGTTCCAAGGTACATGTAGTTTCCTAACACTGGCTTGCTTCACCTCAAAGTGTAGGAGACCAGGGTGGCTGCAGTGTTAATCAGCAAAAAAACGGAATAAGCAGAGGTTAAAATTCCTCATCAATGTAAAAACTGAAATTAACTCTGATGGTCAGACCCACATACTTACTTCTAAAACCCATACCCACCCATACAAATAAACACACAAAGTTACAGCTTTACTCAGCTTTATATAATTAACATATACGGCTGCTATGAAGATGTTTGGAAATAATTTTATTTAATTTAACTATATCCATATTGGTTGTATTACAGATTTTTTTTTCTTACATTCTAACGTCTCTGAAATCTTAAATAGCTTTTGGAATTTTACTATATTATTTAAGTCCTTGTGAACTGTCAAAGTTTCACTCAAAGGTCATCAGTTTCTTGAATGTCTTTATTTCTTCATTTTAAATCTTTAGTGTCCCCTTTCCTACACTCCAACAGAAATAATCTCTCCTCACTATGAATTCCCAAAGCATGTCAACATTACAATTTTTATTATAACAATGTATCACATTCTGCCTAACATTAGACACATTATTTATGTATGCGTCCTCTTCTGTGCTGGAATGCAACTGTCTTTGGGCTTATATCCATACCCACTTGAAGTCCACATAATCAAAATACTATGGCTAAAATAATGTCAACTACCAAGTGGAGAATCCAAGACTTACTCAAAATCACAGCTTTTGCTCAATAGCAGAGGTTGGGGCCAAACATACACTGGTGCTTTCCAGACTTACATTTCCACTAGACATTCTCTTTTCTATATGTAAATTTAAAACTGTTCTGATTAAGTCAACTTTTTTTCTTGCTGGTTAAAAGCTTTTCATCAAAAGAAAAAATGAGGAACAGACAAATGGATACTAATTCTGTTATCTTTTTTTGCATTTGATTTGCTGTATTTACACTAAAATTAGATTTTACAGAAGAGAAAATGAGAGACAGTAAGAGTGAGGAAGAGAGAGAGATTGATTCACACTGCCCAAAGTTATTTCCCTGAGGAGCACAGGCTTCTTTCCATTAGGTGATCAAATGCAACAAGAAGAGAACAAGGGATTCTTTACACCAGAGATTTAAATGAAACTGTGAGGCATGACCTAGAGCAAAGTAGCAATTAAAACTCCAAATTACAGCTCCTACCTATTGCCCACAGCTCACTATTGATTGCTGGGCTTCCATTTGCCTTAATGGAAGCTTGACTTGTGATGTCATTGTCTAGAAAGCTATCAAAACTCCACTGAATTTGTGTTTGCTCTGCACAATTGATTAAATTCATAACTTTGTATAATCTAAAAATATACAGTGACATCCTTTAAAATTCCATGATTTAAAATGTCTTTGTAGGGAAAACCCCTATTACTTTCATTTTTTCATATCAAAAAAGATTCAGGAAAAAAATTATTACCTCATTTAATTTTTAAAAATCAACAAAGGGTATTTTGAAAATGTAAAACATATAGTATAGACTAAATATATTCCTGGTATTTGCTGTATACCGGGGTTAATTCTGGGAGAACACTCACTATGTGAGGAATATTTCTACTTCCAACTCCAACTTACACATTTTCACTCTGTTCTCTCATTTTTTATTACTTTTTCAAATGTCAAATTGGCAAGAATTAAAAGAAAGCAAGGTTAAAATGTATTTAAGATTTCCAGCATTTTCCTAGACTCTTTTCAGACCTCCTTCCAGCTATATTAGAATGTGAACATATAAACAGTTAATAATTAGTTTATAAATGTTTAGCAATGAAATAATGTTGTTTGACTACTATCTTGCCCAGGGGAAAATAGGCAGAAGTCACTTAAGACTGTACAGTTTAAAGAAACCATTCCTATCACATCAAATTATATTATTTATTATATAAAATAGGAGTAGAGCAGAAATACTAGCAACAACATATTAGTGTTAGCAACCAAGAAAATTGAGGTACCTATCTTGAATACCTTGGAGCTTCACCACTATAAATTATTAAAAGAATGAAATAAATGTATGAATAAAGCAAAGTTTCTGAATCCTTGGGCAGATCAATTTTAAATTAGTTCTGGAAGGGCCTTGACAGTTGCCTGATTGAATGGTCTAGAGAAAAAGTTGAAGCCTTTCAATAGCAGGTTGTTGCTTTTTTATTTTCCCTAGATGTTCACAAATTGTCTCTTTGGCTAAAATTTTTCAACTGCAAAAAAAAGTCTTCAATCTGAGGTCCTATGTTAGATTTGCTATTAATTGTGTCTTTTCAGCATGCCTACCTCACTTCTAATAGTAAAATCCTTTTTTCTTTTGGAAAGTCTATTCCCTATGGTTCAGGTGGGGTGAATCACCTGCCATGGTGACCATGTGACTCACAACTGGCCAAAGAGAATATTCTACCCCAACCCTGACCACGACAATTAGATGAGAGCGTCACCTCAAAAAGGCCAGAGTATTTGATCAGAATTGATGTAAAATAGCTATGAGAGAAAGAGTCTTTCTTCAATCAAAATTCAGAGGGATATATCCTTGGGGATTCCTTTCCTACCATATTGAGAAGTGGCCTGCCTGAAAATTAAGTGAATAGGAAAATGGGTATGAGAGAGAAACAAAGCCCTCTGGACAGCATTAGAAACCCTAAACCTAGCTATACCTGAAGCTACATGTGTATCTGGATAGTAGTCAATATTCCAATAATTTCCCCATATTTGAGCCAGAGTTTAGGCACTTTGCAACCACTAGATTGCTAACTAATAAAATTGTGATGTTATTTTCTAAGTTACTGCAAGCTACTATGTAGAATCTCTTTTTACACATAGGCAACTATCAGGTCATGTAACTCAGACTACATGAAATGGTCAGAGTCAATGAGAAGATATCTCAACTTTCTTCTCAACAACATTTCTGAATGTCTGAAAAGATAATTAATGTTCAATTTAATTTTATTACCCTATCAAAGTAATTCTGTTTTTCTACATAGACATTCAATTAAGTTCATGCACATTCTTTCTATATCATAAAATTTAAGAATTAGAAAAAAATCTTGGAATTCCCTTTCCCCCGTCTTCATTTTAGATAAGGAATCTGAAGTCTAAGACGATATTTAGTGAATTGTCCAACATTATACAGCTAGTGATGACATTGAAATACAACAAAATTCTGTATCCATAATGTACCAGAAATTATAAAATTATGCCTATTAAAGTATTCATATTATTCTGAAATGAAGTGACTTGAGACCTTATTAGAATATTATCATTTAAAAAATAAGAAATTACTTTAGTAAAGCACAAGTAATTCTGTGTTTTTATCCACTGGGGTATCCATTAATTCTCCCAAAATAAGAATGTACTAAATGAGCCAAAATTCCATTAAACACACACAATGATAAATGACCTGAAATGGTCTTTCTGTAATGCTTTTGTTTTCTTTATAAATAACTACCAAGATAGAAAAGGGTAAAAATCAGTGTATTCTAATGGGAACTAGCAAATTCTATTAGATATGAATGCCTAATTATAATCTAAGTGAAAAAAATGCTGATTTAAAAATGTTTTTTAAGGATGGCTCATCATACTCCCTCCAAGTTGACAGCCTGTTCTAATAATAATTTCAGGGATCAAAAAATACAAATATAAAATTCTATCTGTATTTTTTGGCTTTTATTCACATAAAAGCCAAACAGCCTTTTGCCTAAAGTATTAGATGCTCACTGGTTGGATCAGCAGATTATTTTCTTCCATATTATTATTCCATATATTTTTAAGTGGAAGACTCCTATTACTGCTCTGAGAGGCATAATTACTAAAAAATGTTCAGTGTGCATTTGTGGATTTTTAAACCAACTCTCTAATCTTCAGCCAATACATTTTATTAAACTGAAAGAGAACCAAATATTTTCTTTTGGAATTGTTGCATAATTACAAGAAGTAAATTTGTAGCCCTAGAACGTCAACAAACAAAGAAATTAGGTACCCTCAACTTATCCACAAGCAAATTAAAGAAGATTGATGGGATAGGAAGAATGTTAAAAGCTAAATTAAATGTTCACTTAAAAGCATCTTCTTCTGCAGTTTTTTATATTGTTTACATTAAACTTCTTTATTAAAAAGTAGTTCATGTTATTGAGTAATATTTTGTCACAATCTATTTCTAGTTATGTAAAGTAGTTCAGAACAAGGGTTTTTTTTAATATTTCCAAAAAGTAAATAGAATTTCATAATAAACTATTGTTATAAATTCTTAATATGTCTCTAATGGCCAAACTATGAAAAAGGAGTAAAATAGTGAACATGTTGTCCATAGAATTCTACTGACTAAAGATCTAAGTAATAAGTTTTTTCAACTATAATCACCATTTTTCTATATCAGTGAAATATTTACAGCCATAATGATTAATTGGTGTATATAAAATGGACAGATTTCACTCTTTCCAAGAGTTTCTTCAAGGTCTACCTGTAACTCTCTTTAACAGGCAGGCAGATACCAATGCTATTCCTGGAAATCTGCCTGGTTTTCCAGTCTACCTGACTTGCTCCTCCCTTCTTAGTAGTGCAGTCATGAATCATGTTGTCACCCTAGTTCATATCTGACCTTCTTGGCTTCTAACTCCCAGGAATTTTATAAATACTATTCACACCTTCAGGATACACACACAGATTGACCACACTTTCAAACCATCAACTAACTCCCTCCTTGCAAAATGATGAAATAATTTAATCCAATGACTTCTACTCACCAGGCAGGTTGAGGAAGGCTGGAAAGGGACTATGGCAAGGGGCTCCATACACAGATTCTTTGTACTGATTTTTACCTGTTATCTTCACTTACGAAATAACATGCAGAATATAACTCTGCTGTTTTCCACATGCTATCTCCCAGGTCCTTGCCTCTAGGAAAACTGTCTGGCCCATTCCCACTGAGAGTCACTTTACTACAGCCTTCCAAGGTCCTGCAGACACTGGGGGACCTAGGGTCAGCCAGACTCTAGGACAACTACTTTCACAGGGACTGACACTGCATGAAACAAAGATATTCCCAACAGGGAAGATTTTTATGAAAAGTTGTTTAAAGAGACTGCACACTTTTCTCTAATTGGTAAAATGCCACTGTAAATCAGAGCACTGAAATGTAAGGCTCTCTGGGCCCAGTGATTCCCTTTCAATGCCAACAAACTTGTGGTGCTGTGTTGTTGCTGTCCCTCTTTTCTTTTCTTTTTTTTTTTTTTTACTAAGTTTTCCTGCACATTGTAGTTTTAAAGTGCAAATAAATACAAGACCCAGTCACTGTTTGGATTCAGTGTTTTCCCTTGGAACCAGTGCCTTACAGATTATGACATGCAGCACACAGAAAATGGGATTAGAAAGGGTGCTGTGGCCATAGGGTTGTCCTCGGGCTGTAGAAGGCAGGGAAACCCTTCATTATTCTTCCCCTCAGTCTTAGGAGGCTCATGATAGCTAGGTGTCACCTCTAATGTCATCGTCTCCCTCTCAGGCTTTGTCTCCCTGTCTCCCTCTCCCCTTCACTCTTTCCCCCACCACCCCTCCTCCCCTCTCTCCGTGATTCTCAGGACCAGGGAAAGGCAGAAGAGCCTAAAAGTGCATCTACCACCCTCTAAGGAGTTAATAACCATGCCCAGCCCAACGCAAGCCAGAAAGGGCTCTTCAATTCCAAACGGAGTGTTAGGGATTGTTAAAAAGAAGGCACACACTGAAAGTTAAAGAATTTGGTTCTTGTTATTTCTCTGAAATCTGATAAAATATTTAGTTTTATGAAAAAAAAAGGGTGGGGGTTCAGTAATTGTTGCATAAATCAGTTTTACTGTCAGCTAATTTTTAAAAATACACTAAGATAATTTATGATGGAAATAGAAAAAAAAATCACTGTTTCTATTCAATAAAGTTAGGGCAGAGGGCTATCAATACAGCTGTGGTAAAGCAGAATGCCTGAAAGCTAACCTTTTTTTTCTATTACATAGAAAAATCAACAAATGTTGTTTGGAATTATAACCAAATCTCCTAAATTAAGAACTGGTCATTAAGGTTTTATCTAACTAACCATATCTCATGACCAAGCTAAACAACACATTTTCCTTTACAATTATTTTTTACTATAGTTCTTCCTGATATTTTGATTGCAGATATACCAGTAAAGACAGGAAAATAAAATATATATGAAATAAAATAACACTTAAAGTAACTTCAAAAATTTATATGATTCCCCATAAGAAACCAATCAGAGATCCGCAGTTTAGCTGTCTAGTAAGTACTTGTCCCACATAAATGGACCCTCCACCTGGGTTACAAGGAGGTTTATGTTTCCAGTAAACAAAAGATGCTGTGCAACACAGCATGGAACTCACTGAAATGGGCACTCTTCAGGCAATGGGGCCTGACAAAAGCATTCGGCAAATAATATTATTCACCAAAATCATTTTAATTTACTTTCTGGAGGACTTGTTTCAAATTGCTTATTGAATATGGAGACAAAAAGAATATGGAAAACATTCTGATAAGAACAAGAAAACCAGAAAATGAAGAGCTCAGGCAGATGCTCACACACACACAAAAGGCACACTTGTTCTCTCTGGACACTCTTTTGTACATAGAGTAGGTAATAAAGTTTAAAAAAATATATTAAAATGGTCAATCATATCATTGAAGTTATTTTATTAGCCATCTAAGTAAATGTAGAATCCTCAGAAAAGAGGTGTTCTTATAAAAACAGACCTACTGATTACGATACTAGGATAAATATTTTACGCAGTTTCATATAAAGCCTCCTCAATTTTACTCCTGGGCTTTAAAAAATAAAATATATTTATACTGCCACCTAATTAGATTATGTAAAGGGGGACAAAAGGACCATTTTTTTCTTCCCAAGACATCTATTAACATAATTTTGAACACCAAACAAGGAACAAGATTCTGGGTTATCCCACAATGTAAATCAGCATGTGTTTATTCATCAGTCAAAAGTTAGATGGAAAAGACTTCATTAAAAGGAAAAGAACACATGCCCCATTACCCAGCAGTCTTTCTGCTGAATATTTAGTCTCCCAGATCCACAGATCCTATTGTACAGGAATGTTTATAGAAGCATTCTCTATGGTTGTAAAAAGAAGTCAAAACAGAGTATCCACTCCTAAGGAATGGTAAAATATCACAGGTGCACAAAACAAGTACAAAGTCAGTCAGAATTCATGAGCAGATTTACATTTAGCAATACGTGTATAGAGATAGCTCATAAACCTAATAATATTTTAAAAGAAACAAAATCATATTTATAGCACATGATGATTTACATAAACTTTAAAACAATACTATATTGTTCCAGGGTTATACAGTAGCCCCTCTCTTATCCATAGTTTCAGTTTCTTCGGTCCAAAAACATTAAGTGGGAAATTCCAGACACGAACAATTCCTAAGTTTTACTTTATCCACTCTTGCTTAGTAGGTGAAATCTCACCCTGTCCTATTCTAGTCCTTGTGGGACATGAATCCTCCTTTGTCCAGCGTGCCCACACTATAGATACTCCCTGCCTGTGAGTCTCTTGGTAGCTGTCCTGGTTATCAGAGCCATTGTCATGGTATCACAGTGCTTGTGTTCAAGTAGCCTGTTTTCTACCTAATAATGGCCCCAAAGCGCAAGAGCAGTGGTGCTGGCTTATAGCTGTAAGTGTGTTATTTAGTTATTTTAATACTATATTAGCTATTTTTAATCTCTTAATGTGCCTAATTTGTAAATTAAACTTTAGTACATGTATATACATATATGAACAAATATAGTATATCTGTAGTTCACTATTACATACAGTTTCAGGCATCTACTGGAGGTTGTGGAAAACTATTACCTCCCTAGGATAAGCAGGGGCTACCATACCTGACTTTAAGTCTGTGTAGATAAACAGTCAGCTCTTCATATTTGCAGGAGATTGGTTTCAGGACTTCCTGCAGATACTTAAGTCCATTCTATAAAATGGTGTACTACAGTTGGCTCTTTGTATCTGTGGGTTTCACATCCTCAGATTTAACCAACCACAGATGCAGAAACCACAGATACAGAGGGCCAACTCCATAGATATAAATTTTAATCTACATGTACAACTGACCCTTGAATAACACCTTGAGCACCACCCCCTCCACACAGTGAAAAATCAGGTTATAACTTTTGACTCCCTCAAATGTAACTACTAATAGCCTACTGTTGACCGGAGGCCTTACTGATAACATGAACAGTTGATTAACACACATTTTATTTGTTATCTGTATTATATACTGTATTTTTAAAACAAGGAAAGCTAGAGAAAAGAAACTGTTATTAAGAAAATTATAACAAAGATAAGACATATTTACTATTCTTTAAGTGGAAGTGGATCATGATAAAGGTCTTTATCATCTTCACACTGAGTAGGCTAAGAAGAAGGAGGAAGAAGAAAGGTTGTTCTTGCTGTCTCAGGGGTGGCAGAGGCAGAAGAGGTGGAGGAGGTGGAAGGGGAGGCAGGAGAGAAAAGCACACTTGGTGTAACATTTCTTGAAAAAATCCAGGGATAAGTGGATCCATGCAGTTCAAACCCATGTTGTTCAAGGGTCAACTGCATAAATTATTAAATGCATATGTAATATTACATATTACATCTATGAGAAGTACCGTAAGAATACATATTAAGTATGTTACAGCAGAAGTCTATGGGGCAAGACAATGAGAGAGGAACTTAGAGACCAAGTAGGAAAATTAGGTGAAACAGAAGAGAGCCTTGTACCAAGCCAACCTATGACATAGAGGGCCATGAACAAGGACCACAGTTGACTCACCTCTGTGTATTTGACCAAAAACAAAGAAACACATAAGGACTTTGTAGCTATAGTTTTTGACATTAGGAACAACCAATATGCAGCCATATCTGAAGATAAAAATCATCTGAAGAGAAAGAAAATATTTTAAAAAGCATTGCAAAAAAAAAAAAAATAGATTGGTGATATCCCTAAACCATAATTTTAACCACAGTTAAGTAGAATTTAGAAATCTTTAAAATCTTATGCAGAAACTTTTCATTTCTAAAACTGATTTATGGGTCTGATAATGTTTAAACACATGGAGAAAGTCAAACCAAGGGAAGACTATCTGAACAGTTCACTGCAGCAACGGTGTTAACATGGCACATTTGTATGTAACTTACAAAATCAGGGCTGTCACTAAGATGCCCAGCACCATCTGAAAGACACAACTTCATCAGGCAGCAATGTCATCACTTTGCTACATGTGTGCATGGATTAAGCAGCTGAAAGGAAAAGGAAACATATGTGTGTGCACATGTGTGTGTGTGTGTAACACACAGAGATTAAAATATACATATATTTGTGTGATTTGTGTGTGTATATACATATATACATACACATATATCTGTGTGTGTGTGTGAATATCCTCTGTGTGTGTGTTTGTGTGTGTGTGTGTGTGTGTGAATACATGAGAAATTCTATTTCAATTACCTGGCTGTTTCAGGTGAAACAATGCTCTGAATGAAGACTATTTCATGTTCCCAATTCACTTTATATGGATCAGACATAGTTACACTGCACATCATCTAATAAGTTTGCAGAATTCTAAGAAAGGTAAACTATTTTGTTAAAGATGAGTCAAGACACTTCTGAGTGATCCATATATTTATTCTACAAGATGTTAAAATGGAGACTAGACAATCTCAGTGACTTTTCTTGTTGTAGTTTCTTTGAAAATACTTTACTATTATTTCAATTTCCAATGAAAATTGGTACATATTGATTATATAATTACAGTTATAAAACTGATAATATATTACTTAGATAACAGAAGCAATATTTAAAATGTATTGGTTGCATCTTCATTGCTAAGAAAGTTGGATAAATAATATGCAAAAATTGCAAGTATCAATGTTTTCCAGCAAATATATCAACATTACCCCTTTTAAAATCCATTATTTTCACTCATCTTACCATTACTTATTAATTGCATGAAATTGTGTTGGTAAATTATTGAAGCCATATAAATGTCAATAATTATAAATAAAGCTAATTTTCATAACTAAGAACAATAATAACTTATTTGAGGGATAACCCTAGTCCATCAACCATATGATCATCTCAACATCACAAAAAGCTGCTGTAATGAGAATTTTATCCCAAAAGTTATATATAAAAAATGATATAAATCAACTACTATAAAAGTTGACCAACAAATTAATGCACTGAAAACTCTCACTCTAAGCTAGGCATGGAAGCTGCATAATAAGAAACAATATACAACAATATGCACCAACTTAAAAGTCCCAAAGGTACATAAACAGCAAAATGTGCATTTTTAGGAAATGAAAGTGGCAACAGTCCATGGTATACATCTCATCATCCCAAACAAATTGCTTAATAAAAACTATAAATCAAATCCCATGAGTGGCTGTAAAGCCATATTTTAAACTTTGGCATATGTAGATGAAACCATAGTTAGAGGAATTAAGAAATTTGCTTCCTGTTGTTTAACTCCCCCATTAGGAGATCATCACAAATGGTGAGGAAGCAAAATATAAAGATGCATTTTAAGTTATCTACTTTTATGACTATAAAATCGTGCACAGACCAAGCAAGTCCCCAGAGAGTTAAATGGTCATGCCAGACAGTTTATCTGAAATTTCTACAACAAATGACCACTTAAAAGTTCTCAAAAATACTGAAAAGTACTGAAAATTTTTTGTTGGGTTTTTTTTCCTCTCCCTTTTGCAACAGAATGAGGGAATGAAGCATTTTTCTTGGACACTGAGTATAATTATAACTAATCATCTCCTTCTCCTCGGAGCAACATTCGTTGACGTTCCTTCATTTTAGGGTGGCTGGCTGACACAATTCAAATATAATTACTCTTCTTGCATGATAAACTCCGGCACCGTGAGCAAATACAGTATGTCTCATTGTCAAGTATGGCTAGACAGCAGCGGTGTAATATAGACCTTTCAAGCCCTGGTGTAGCCCCCTGCCTTTGAAATCTGTGTGAGATGACAAAACTGACTTTCATTTCCCTTGGACTTTCTCAAGGTATCCTTATTAAGAAAAAAAAAAAAGCCTAAAACCCATAAATTTAATCTACTGCCTGCCAATCACAGTGGTTTCTGCTGTCAGACACTCATGATACATAACCACAAAATTTAAATGTTATTGTTTCATACAAGAAGACAATGTTGCTCACGACTACCCTCAAGTAGTCATGTGACAACTCAGTGCGTTTCCTTTGTTTCCTTCCTCTGCTGCTGAACAATAGCACTAGCAGGAAATATGTAACTGATGAACCACACGTGGAAGGGGCTACACAACAATAAACTCTAAAGTGGATCATTGCTTCTGCCTATCTTACAAAAGACAATTGCAGATGAGCAAAAGTTTGTTTCCCAGCATGTATTTCATTTCAGATTAATAGTGATCCTTATTTTATTCTCAAATGACTTCCAACTTTAAAAAAATCAAACCATAAGTGCATGATCATTGAAATACAACTTTCACCAACTTTTAAAAAAGTAGTAGTAATAATAACAACATAATGTAGTCATGAATGTTGAGTTTTGGAAAGAAACAAAGTCTTGAAACTTAAAATGAAATTTTCAATACAGCCTACCAGCCCCAAGCTTTTCATTAACATAGCAAACCACACAGATTTCTCTTACATTTTCTGATTCATGTTTTTTTTTAAATTATGGATGGCCACAGATATAAACTGGACATCATTTTGCCCCTTGTTGAATTAAAATGAATTCAAAAATGTAGTTTCTATTTACTATTTTCTAGGACGGTGTTTTCACAATAGGCCATGCAATTCCAGATGGTAGGGATTTTTTGCTTTTGTTTTGTTGCTG